AAACAAAAGGTCCTTCAGAGAAATATAATAAAAGTGATCACTGGTGGAGAAAATACTATTATAATACCTTACCAAACTACATCTCGTTCCTGGAATGAATCTTACATACTCATGACTTCATGTTTTTGTTGATCAGGTTTTCCCTCTACCAAAAATATCCCTTCAACTGTCAACTCTTGGTGACTGTTCTAGATCCAGATCAAAGAGTACATTCTTCTCCAATCCCCAAAGAAGAAATAATTGTGTCCTCCCAGTGCTGCAAGGTAACCTACACATTTTTATTATATAACTTAAATAAATAATAACCACACAATAAGTACCTGTCTCCTTGTTATGTTAAAAGATTAAAGGCAAGAACTGTGCCTTCTTCACTGTTATGATCTCCTCCCCCAGCACCTCCCTCAGTACCAGTTACAGAAAGTATCGAATAAGAGGATAAATTAAGGAAGAACAATAGACAGTCACATAAAAGGGCAGGGTGTTCAGAATCCCTCCCCTCCCCATGCCCAATTCTTTGTAAGTGCTAAAGCCCTGCTATACCAACCAGACTGATAAAAAACTGAAGTGTTCTTGTGACTTCCCTGCCAAGACAAGGCTAGAGTAGTAAAAGGCTCTCACCACAGATCTCCTACCTTATCAGATAACCTTCATGCCAGTAATGCTGCCAAGATCTTTTCTGTTCTTTTGTGATTTTGCAAAATGCTGCCAAATTCTATTTTCTCATTTTCTAAGTGCATTCTTTCCATCTGTTCCTTCATCTGCTTATTTCTGTCATCTTTATTCCATCTACTTCATCCAATTGTTATCTATATTCAAAAAGGATTAATTTTCTCACTTAAAAAAAAAACAGAATTTATCCTTAAAAATAGATGTGCAATTTTTCTCTCATGAGGGATCTTTTCATTCATAGCCATCCAATCTACTTTATCTGTACCACTCTTTAAAATTACAATTAATTTTGGATAAAATGCCAGCGTAGGCTTCACATAACAATGTCACAATGTCAGAAATCCACTTTCAATTTCCATTCAATCTGAATCTATCTCCAAGTATGAGTTTTCTTTTAACAAACATTCATTATCTGATGTGCCAGACACTGGGCTAGGTGCCATGGATATACATACAAAAAGGCAAGGAGGTAGTTTAGTGGAGAAAGAGCTACTCCATATTTACAGTGCAGTGTGATAAGTGCTATATCCACATAAAAAGATTCAATGTTGACACAGCAAGTGAGAGTCCATTTACTTAACTTCCAAAGTCCATGAATTCCCTGAATCCCAGTAGTCAAATAAACTAAATACTATTTCATTGTCTTCACTCTGTTTATATGATGAAGCAAATATAACGCAGTATATAAAATCATAATGGTTTGAGGTCCTGCTGAGAACTGTATTTTTAAGTTATTTTAGAAGCTGAACTAAGCATGACTTGATGAAAGCATCTGACCAGTGCCTTTGCCTTCCACTATTACCAATCCTTTTTTCTGGTTTTCCTTAATATATCTCTGCACAGGTAGAATCGGTATTGCTAAAATAACAATGACCAAGTGTAATAATATCTCCTGTCTTACCAACTGTACTTAAATGCCATTAGTGTACTTATTTTTTAACAACCACCGTCTTAAAAAGCCTCTCTCTATCAAAGAGGCATTTATTTGACCAAGACAACTTCAGTCATAAATCCACAAAAATTCACAAATCTAAGTTCCCATTTTGGTGACATATTTTATTATCCACATTCAGAGATTGCTGGTTATTAGAAGTTTTGACAGAAAACCACTATAAGCTTATAATGAAGATATAACACAGCCTTTTATATCACATATATTAAAAATATTAAGAGACTTGAATAGACTAATAATAAGAGAAATCAAAAGGTTATCAATAAATTATGGGGGAAGAAAAAAGACTCCTAGCTCCAATGAATTTACAACTAAATTATTTCAGATTTCAAGAAAGGAACAATTTCTTTTAGATATATTGTTTCAGAGATGGGATCTACCTGTGCATTTCACAAGGCAAATATAAAATCAACTTCTTCCATATGCCAGGAATAACTAACTGCACATGGCTATGAAGGAGGACACAGTCTTCCCAAGTCCCTCCCTCCTTTCTGGCTGGCTTTGTAGATAAGTACACCTCTCACAGGGTTTACTGTTATTCACAGTGCATAACAAAACTAGCAAACAGAAATGACGTAGTCCCAGGTAGGCATCTGCTACCTCCATGAGATGATACGTGGAATTCAGATAGGCTTCTGCATCTCATTATTCCAGAGCCACTGGAACCTATCAACTCCTCCCACTATTCTATCTGATCTGCTCTTAGCAAACGCCACATGGACCTCTTATCCCTCACAAGCCCTCATTCCAGCCTGCAGATACAACTCCAGTAGTGGTTACATCCCCATTGCCTCAAGGGGATAATTTGAAGGCTGAGACTGTTCCAATTGGATGACCCCAGTTCACTAGATCTTTGCATTACCGGAAATGAATTCTCTGGTCACTTACAGTTTTTCATTATGACAGAAATAAAATCTGACCACCCTGTATGTTTTTAATAACTTTCACACACAGCAAATCCAAGTCCTTTTCCTTATTACAGGAGAGGGAATCTGCAGTGAAGTTTGAAAAAGAAAAATTTCTGGAGGTGTTTCACTTAGAAGTCCATCTCTATAACTTTAAAATTGTTTTCATAGAGCTGAAGTAGGTCTGATTTTCAGGGTCCAAACCATCCCTAGACATCCCTTTCCTCTGATAGGAACACTGAGCGGGGCTGGGGAAAGTACTGCACATTCTCTCATTCCCTCCTCCAGCAGTGCAACTCCAGTTGTTTCCTGTTTGGAGACATTTGGAGGACTGCAAACCTCTTGTTGGAATCAGGATTAAGAGTGTTACTTTTAGGGTGCCTGGGTCGCTAAGTCAGTTAAGTGTCCGACTCTTGATATCGGCTCAGGTCTCAATCTGATGGCTCATGAGTTCAAGCCCCAGGTCAGGTTCCATACTGACAGTGCGGGAGCCTATTTGGGATTCTCTCTCCCACTTTCTCTCTGCCTTTCCTCAGCTTGCTCTTTCTCTCTAAATAAATAAACTTGAAAAAAATTAATAAATAAAAGTGTTACTTTCTCCAGACATGCCAGTTTTTAACTGCCAAAAAAGTGCACAAATCATTTCATTGAGCTTTCACTAGCTAACCAATCAGCCCTAAACTTTAGGAGTAAAAACTTTTAGAGGCAACCATTACAGATCTGCCAGATCAGCTTCCAAATATGTGTCTTCAAGAAAATGGCAAGAATAGTTAAGAGTCTTAGGGTTCCTCCCAGCAAGAATTATCTGTCTTTCATTCATGGCTCTCGTTTACTAACCACTCTCGTGCCAAACCATCTCCACCCCCAGCAGAAGGCAATAGTTGCCAGTGTTTCTGCGCCCTCTCTTCTGGAAGTTCTCCATCCCTTTATTATGTGCTACCAGGTCCTTCTGCCTGCTTCTCTGGACCACTCTTTCCTCAGCAAAAAAAACACAGACTGGGGCTTCAGATGCTGGGTTGTCCTAGATGGAGAAAGTCTTTCTCATTTTTGGGAAATCTTTCCCCAATCACTCTATATCCTAAATAACAAGCAACTAAACCCTCTGGTACCTGCACTTCCCCAGGTCCCACTTATTCTTCAGTTAACTGCCAATAAGAATTACAGTGTCAACAATGCTAGTCATAATTTAGCAAAATCAACAGTCATATAAATTGCTCTGGAAAGCATGAATGAAGAGTCTTTAACTCCTTGGTTCAGTATTTTCAGCTCTGGGACCCTAATCTATAAAAATAATCCGTGGTTAAATTACAGTATACCCAAAGTAGTCATTAAAAGCAGACTACATAGCAACAAGGAAAACTTTGCTCAAAAAAAAAAAAGAGTGGGTGACTCAGGTGAGCACTCAACCCTTGATTTCGGCTCAGGTCATGATTCCAGGGTCATGGGGTGGCTCAGGGTTGAGTGTCGAGCCTGCTTGAGATTCTCTCTCTCTCATCCTCTGTCCCACCCCCAGCCACGGCAACCACACTAGTGATCCCTATTTAATTTTTTTTTCCTTAAGGCTGGAAAGAAGTACCTTAAAGTTGTTGTAAATTGCTGGTACGTTGGCATGATGGGACCCTTGAAGCAGTAACACTTCCATCAAATAGGAGTTACATTTGTGATTCCTTATATGGTTTGATTTTTGCAGTAGCAGAAGAGAACAGAATCAGGCTAAATCCCCATCCCCAAAGGACTCCATAAAGCTTTTGTCAAATGACTACACACATATTCACAAACTTTTCCTGACAAAAATTCCTCAGAGTCTTGAATCCCAAGTCATTAAGCACCTATTTACAGGTCCTATTCAGGGAATTTCTCGCACTTATTCAATCGTCATAATAACCCCGTGAGGAGATATCATGGCTTTAATTTTGCATATGAAGAAACAGCTACTGTGACATATTGAGTCACTATCCAAGGTCATCCTTGGGGTGTAGGAGCCAAGAGTCAAATATCCGGCCTTCTGACTGCTTGTTCATTGTTCTTCTTAGTGTTTTTCTAGATCCATAAACCCACACTAAATGTCACATTTAATACCATGCGCAGAAATCAAGTTTCTGTCATGTCAAATTGGCGCCATCACAGTCATTCAATATTGGAGACCTTTCCTGTGTTCTATCACAGACCCTGGTAATAATAATCACCTTGCTTTCCAAGTGTGAGCTACACGTTTTTAAAGCGCTTTCACTAAATCCTTAGATGCCCAAAGCTTTCCGAAACTGTCACAAAAAGGAGAGGGCTAACTGTCCCCCAAGGCCCGAGGGGGCTCCCATCTTGTCAATGAGCCATATGGGTTCTTTCGCGAGGCCACGTAGGAAATCGCGAACATCCTAGATAGTCGTGGCGGTGGCCGCGCCCGAAGTCGTGGTCACCGAGAACCCTGCTCCGCCGGCCAGGACTCTTCGCTACCCATCTGCGCCCCCAGACCTCACCTTAAGAGTCTCGTAGGCGGTCGCCACCAACAAGAAGGCCTCTTCGGCGCTCTGCGGTGTCAGTCCCGGGCCCTCGTCGCCAGGCTCAGGCCGGTAGCGGTCGGGGTGGTAGCGCCGGGCCAGCTGGCGGTAGGCCCGCGCGATCTCCGCCTTGCCCGCCGTGCGGCTCACGCCCAGCACCTCGTAGCAGTCGCGCGTGCCGCAGTAGAGCCCCTCCACCAGGGCCCCCGCGGGCCGCGCCAGCAGCAGCGCCAGCAGCAGGGGCGGCAGCAGCACCAACCAGCGCCGGCCGGCAGCCCCGGCTCTCCGGCGCGGAGCGAGCGGCGCCGCCATCCCGGGGCCTCGGCCGCGGCTCCACCACCCCAGCACCTCTGCCGCACACCGCCGTGCGCCGGGCTCCGCCTCTCCGACCTAGCTCCACATCAGCAGGCGCCGCCTCCGCGCAGGCGCACTGGGCGCTGCTGCGACAACCACTTCTTTCGCGACCGTTGCTAGGGGAGAAGGACGCCTCATCCGCCGGGCCGCTTCCGGTATGTAGCTGACCGCTTTCCCAGCCTCAGCTGCTGGAGGGTTTGTTCTTAGTCAAACTTAAAGGATGTCTCAGTGTAGCACGTAACCAGTGTGCGCAGAGCGGTTTACGTAACGTCCACAGTACCCTTCACACGCGATCTTTTCTACATCATTTCTGCACCTACGTCGATTGGTAGCTTGGCCCTCTTACCGTCTGGTTATCCCCGTGAAGAAGACGTATGCACAGGGTTTTACCGAGTCCCGAGCCCCGGACGCCTTCTTTTCCCTAGCTCCATGATGTCTTTCGAAAAGGAAGATGAAGTTAGAGATTCTAGGCACTGTCTGCCTGCAGGGGACCCTTAAAGGGTTTCTCAGCCTCCACACTGGTTACATTTTGGACCAAATATTTGCCAAGTAAAGGGCTGACCTATGCATTGTAAGACGGTTAGCAGCACGCTAGTAGTACCACCTCTGTGATTGAGACAGTCAGTGTCTCCAGCTACTGCCAAATGTGTTGTGGGTGTAGAAAAACAGTACAGGTGACTCACTTAAATTTGAATCTCTGACGACAAATAATTTCTTAGTATAATTGTATTCCAAATACTTCATGGGACTATAGGGGGAAATATGGGGTTTTTTTGCCTCAAAAAATGTGTTTTTATCATTGACTTAGTACGTATTTATTGAGTCTCTAATAGGAGCTAGGCACTGTTGGAGGCTTTGGGGACATAGCGGTAAGGTAGACGAAGTTCTTGATCTCAGGGAACATATATTCTGGTAGAGGATAACAGACAATAAACAAAGCAAATAAATAAACTTTAGTGTGTAATAAATTCCTTTAAGAAAATGAAACAAAGGAAAGATGCACGTATATGTATGTTATATAGCATACATACATATGGAAAGAGAGGAGAGAGAGAATTAATGAAACACATAGGAGAGTCACCTAAGCTGAAATTATTAGAGTCAGGGTCAATTGTTAGGGCAATTCCAGAACATCTAAACTGACTTTGAAGGACAAATCGAGGATGACTTGAGGGATGGGATTTAGGGAGTTTTGGAGTAAGGGAGTTGTGAAGGAAGAACCAAGAAGGGGAAAGAGACAGAGGCAAGAAGAGAACATGAAGCTTTTCAAGAAATGAAATACAGCCCACAGGACTGAGGTGGGGATGAGGAGTGGAGGAGATGAAACTAGAAGAAGCCAGATTGTGAGGGGACATTTTGTTCCATGTCGAAGAAGTTGCTCTTTATCCGAAGAGCAATGGAGGGCCAGAGTGGAATTTTAAGTAGTAAAATGACACCTTCAAATTTGCATTTCAGAAAAATTACTCTGCTGGGAAAATAAGTTAGGAGATGTCAGGACAACTGTTATGAGACAGTTTTAAGAGTTCAAGTAAGAGATCCTACAGGCCCATTTCAGGGTAGTAGCACTGAGAATAGAGAAAGCATAGTGAAAAGTAGAGACACTTTCATGAAGCCAAAGGGACAGTTTGGGATCATTGGTTCTGGAGGAATGAAGGAGAGGGTTAAGTCATAACAATGCCCAAATTTCTGAATTGGGCAGCCAGGTGCCATTTTTAAAATAAGGAAAACAGAAGAAAAGTAGGCTTATGGTATAAAATGATGCATCCATTTGAGACATACTGTGGTTGAAATTCCAGCCCTGTCCACATCAGAGCATGGCATGTCCATATTTGAAACATTTGATGATTCTCATTGAACCTCACCTCCCGTGAGGCTCTCAGATATGCAGATTTCCCAGTCCACTTCCTCCATGCAAGCTCTTCTTATGGAAGCTCATTGCTACCTGTTAAGTGCTCTCTTTCCCAAATGGAAGAACTTGCCATGCTTAAAGGAAATTTTCTACATTACAAATGTGATCATGTTACTCTCACTCAACTTTACCCTCAGATTAGAGTTCAAATACTTTAGCAGGCTTTCGGGATTCTGTGACAATCTAGGACCTCATACACTCTGCTTTTGCTCACACTGGTCTTTCTGCCTAAAATATTATCCCTCCCCTCCTACTCCCTGTATCCTGCAGGACTTAGCAGTAGTTCTCTTCTATTTGAACTCTTCCCTTGTTGCGTCCCACAGCTGATTTTGAGCTTTGTACTCAAAGCTCAAACTAGCAGAGGGAAGGTTCACTTCAGAGCAAACAGAACTTTGATCCGTGGCAGGTATTAATTTAGTGCCTCTGAGTTACAATCTCAAAATTCCTTGCCCTGGGCAACAGGACTCTAGACTGCATTTCCCCCAAGGCCTGCTGACTGTTAAACTCTGCCTATAGAGGGTGCTGGAAGCACACTGCAAGGCTGGAAAAGAAAAAGAGGATACCTTTTTTTTTTTTCCTTCCCCTCAAATGGATCAGTAACAGGTTCCCTGTTCAGCATGTTTCTTTGCCACCATGTTGTTGAGGGCTCCTACTATGGGTTGAATCATGTCCCCAAAAGACACGTTCAAGTCCTGACCTCTGGTACCTGTGAATGTGAACTTTTTGTTGGAAATAGAGGCTTTGCAGGTGTAATTAGTTAAAATGAAGTCATGCTGGAGGCACCGGGGTGGCTCAGTCAGTCAAGCTTCTAACTCTTGACTTCCGCTCAGGTGATGATCTGAGGGATGGAGTCTGGAGGCTGACTCTGGGCTGACAACACAGAGCCTACTTGGGATTCTCTCTCTCTTTCCCTCTCTGTTACTCCACCTCATGTGTTTTCCCTCTCTCTTTAAATAAACTTTTTTTTAAGTGAAAAAAAAAAAAGAAAATGAAGTCATGCTGAATACAATTGGGTTTCTTCATAAGGTATATGAAAGGAGAAGTAATAAGCATAGTAAATAGTGATTTCTTTACAGATATCCTTTCACCAAATGACTTCAATGAGTTAGTAGGTTCATAGGCTAACCAAGTTTATTAGCAACTTGATGACAACTGTATTTAGGATTCTGGTACTTGAGATTGAACTCATTTCTGGGTTTTGATAAACAATATTGGAAAGTCATATGGAATACAATTGATTTTGTAGTGTCAGCATGGTCTTGAGACTTCCCTAAGCATATTGATGTTAACTTGACACATTTGGAATAAGCACACAAACTTGTTCCAAAATATGTCTCTATTAATAGTAACAGTTGAAGTTTTGCAAGTACAAGCACAATTCACACACATGGCAGGAAGTCTCAAAATTTAAATCATCCCCTTTAAAGTGGAGGAAGAAATGCCTTAATTCACATATATTTAAAAAATGGAATTACACTTTAAAAAGCTAAATCAATTGGAGTATGGTGGTGACTTTAAAGATACAACACCAAAGGTGTGGTCCATGAAACAGATAATTGATAAGCTACCCTCCATTAAAATTAAAAATTTCTGCTCTGTGAAAAGCAAGATCAAGAGAATGGAAAGATGAGCTACAAACTGAGAGAAAATATTTGCAAGAGACACATCTGATGAAGGACTGCTATCCAAAATATACAAAGAACTCTTTAAACAATGAGAGGACCTGGCTGGCTCAGTCAGTGGAGCATGCAACTCTTGATCTTGGGGGTTGTGAATTCAAGCCCCATGTTGGGTGTAGAGATTGCTTAAAAATAAAAGTCTTAAAAAAAAAAAAACACCCACCAATGAGAGAACAGATAACCTGATTAAAAGATGGGCCAAAGATCTCGACATCTCATCAAAGCAAGTTTATCAAGGGAAAATTAGTATGTGAAAAAATGCTCCACATCATATGTCATCAAGGAAATGCAAAATAAAACAATGAGATGTCGCTACATACCTATTAGAATGGCCAAAATCTGGAACACTGCCAACATCAAATGGTAGCAGGATGTGGAGTAACAGGAGCTCTCATTGAATGCTGGTGGGAATGTAAAATGGTACAGTTGCTTTGGAAGACTGTTTGACATTTTCTTACAAAACTAAACATACTCTGAAGCATTGGCTGGCTCAGTTGGTAGGGCATGCAACTCTTGATCTCAGGCTCATGAGTTTGAGCCCCACATTGGGCACAAAGATTCCTTAAAATAAACTGGGGTAGGGCGTTTGGGTGGCTCATTCGGTTAAGTGTCCAGCTTCGGCTCAGGTCATGATCTCACTGTTTGTGAGTTCAAGCCCTGCATCGGGCTCTGTGCTGACAGCTCAGAGCCTGGAGCCTGCTTTAGATTCTGTGTGTCCCTCTTTCTCTGCTCCTCCCTCACTCATGCTCTGTCTCTATCTCTCAAAAGTAAATACACATTTAAAAAATTTTTTTAAATAAACAAATAAATGAACTGGGGTACCTGGGTGGCTTAGTTGGTTAAGTGTCCATCTTTGGCTCAGGTCATGATCTCACTGCTTGGGGATTCGAGCCTCGCAATGGGCTCTGTGCTGACATCTCGGAGCCTGGAACCTGCTTCAGATTCTGTGTCTCCCTCTCTCTCTGCCCTTCCCCCATTACTATCCCTCTCTGTCTCTTTCTCTCTCTCTCTCTCAGAAATAAACATTAAAAAAAAATTTTTTAAACACACAAAAACACCCCACTAAATATACTCTTACCATATAATCCAGCAATTGCACTCCTTGGTATTTACCCAAATGAGCTGGAAATTTATGTCTACACGAAAACCTACACATAGATGTTTATGGCAGCTTTATTCATACTTGCCAAAACCTAGAAGCACCAAGCTGTCCTTCAGCAGGTGAAACGGATAAACTGTAGTGCCTCCAGACAATGGAATATTATTTAATATTACAAAGAAATGAGATGTCAAGCCATGAAAAGATATAGAGGAACCTTAAATGCAAACCATTAAGTGAAAAAAGCCAGTCTTAAAAAGCTACATATTGTATGATTCCAACTACATGTCATTCTGGAAAAGGCAAAACTATTGAGATAGTAAAAAGATCAGGGGTTGCTAGGGGTTAGAGGGAGGGGTGAAAAGGCAGAACACAGAATTTTTAGGGCAGTGAAAATGTTCCGTATGACACTATAATGACAGGTACAT